TTTTGAGGCCAAAGAGATAACCTTACAACACCCTCAAGAATATACCCCAATTCTTGAGAACACTCTTTCCCAAAGAGAAGATTACAAATTTACAAACTTACAAGGAAAACCTCTCAAGGTAAGATGTTTGCACAATTCTAGAACAAGAAAAGAACACTCACAAATAATTACAAATGAGCACAAATGGTGTTCTTTGAAAGCAAAATGAATATTGAAAGGAAAATTGGCTTGATTTGCACAAACTTTGTGTTTGATGCTTTCACTCTTGTTTCTCTATAATTTCTTGTTGATCAAGGGCTTCAGAACTTGTTTAAACACACCTTGAATCACTTCTGAACGTTGGGGATGATTAGTGAAGATCATATAGCCGTTTTAGTGTGAAAACAATTAATAAAACAGCTTGGAGCGTGGGGGGAATCGGTACCCCCTATGGGGAATCGGTACCCCCTATGGGGAATCGGTTCCCTAAGTGTAAAATTCAAATATTTCGACCGTTATACAAGGGGGGAATCGGTTCCCTCCGAGCATACTGGAATTCTCGGAGCCAAACCATTCATGGGGGAATCGGTACCCCCTTAGGGGGGAATCGGTTCCCTCTGAGCAATCTGAAATTTTTGGCTTTGAAATGGTTCGAAATACTTTGTAAAATTATTTTGAAATTGTTTTAAGATTAAAACTTAATTTTACACTTTGAGTAAGGATTAAAAATGATCTTTGAAAGATTTGGAGTAATGTTTTGATATTCGAATAATTCTATCGAATATACTTAGAAAATCATTTGGAAAATCTTAAAATTCATTTAACTTAATTTGTTATATCGAAATATCAAAATGTTTTCAACAAAGTTGATGTTATAAAAAAACTTTTCGAATTTCTTATTCACTTCCTTTTTACTTGCAACAACATATTAAAATTAATATTTTAATATTAAATACTATGAAATAGAGATATTTTATTTGAATAATACTTACAGATTAAATATTGGAAGAAAATTTCGTTCAAAATTTTCTCTAATATTCTTCTAAGATGCTCACTCTTTCAATTATTCTCTAGATTTTGCCTCTTCTCCCCTTTCCTTACCACTACTTTACTCCCCAATTCTCAATCAAAACACCCCATATTATAACATCCCGGGTATTTATTATAATTTTCCGTTCAACCACCAACTTACCCAGGTTATTAATGAATAATTAATAGTGTCATTATTACTTACATGTTTCCCAATCGGAGGCAACCTATATACCACCCTAGACTGAAGACGCTAAGTAAACTTGGAGTCTTCCTATTTTGCTTGAAGACGTCGTGCACTCCTGAAGTCTTTCTGGTTGGCTTGAAGACGCCAGATAATCTTGGAGACTTTGTCTCGGTACTGTAGATTTCACCCTAGATGGGGAAATAATCCGGGGAGAACATTATTATGGTAAATATTCCCAAGAACGTTATTGTGGCAATTTTGCCGATAATTTATTGATTTAATTTTTTTAAATTATATATTTTTATATTAAATATTTTTATTTACTCACGTTGTGTGTCAGATAAAATCTAATATGTTGTAAACAATTAAAATCTATAAATAAAATGATTAGGTTTTTGTTAGAATTTTAAAAATAGTTGATTCTTTTTTGTATCTTTTTTATCATAAAGATTATAGGCTAAAAAACCCCTTAAATATACAATTACCCAAATTTATTTTAGATTATGCATTTTTAAAAAATATTAGTCCGATTTTATTATTTAAAAATATTATATATTTATTTAATATATTGTTAAAACATGAACAATATGGAAAATAAATTAAAAAACTTAATCTTTTAAAAAAAATATATTATCTAATCTAAATTATTTAATTAATAAATCGTATCATATCAACAGGAATAACGAAAGACTCCAATGAATCACACAAATAACATGATCTACTTTTATAAAATATAAATATTCCAATCATTAAAGCCAAAAAATCAGCCTCGTATATATGAGATCCAATTACAAAGTATATTTTTTATTTTATATATATTTAAGATAGTTAGACGAGTAAAAATAGATAATTAAGATTAACGGTAGAAAGTAAGAATATATTCACTAAAAAATAAAAAATTAATCTTAATAATTTATTTTCATTCATCGAACGATCCTAAATTTATAAAATTTTAGATGATAAAAATAGTTTATTAATAGAAAATATTAAAAAATTAAAATATATAAAAATTTAGAAATTATAAGGGAAGATTGTTTCATCGCCCCCTCAATCCACCCATATATATATATATAGGGTTGTAAAATCGGGTAATCGTTCAGGTTTCAGTCGGATCCTGATAGGTCGGGTAAAATCGGATACAGGTCATGTCAGGTAAATTTGACACCAGATCCAGATCGGGTTCAGGTCAGGTCAAATCAGTTCGGGTTATTTTCAGGTTAATTTGACACCAGATCCATATCGGGTTCAGGTCAGGTCATTTTCAGTTCGGATCGTTGCCAGTTCAGGTCAAAACAGTTCAGGTCCGAAGGAGTTAAAAAGCAGGTTAATTCATATTCGGATGGACTTCAGGCGGATCTCGTTCAGATCAGGTCACATCATTGGCAGATAAAATTCAAGTCGGATCTCTATCAGATACGGATTGAGTTCAAATCGAGTTTATTTTTATTTTTTGATTAATTATTTTCGTCTTTCGTCAACGTTGAATTGCAATTTGTAATTGTATATGATTTAGAGTAAATTACTAAGAACATAAATAATCATGGTTCAGTTTTATGAAAAATACAAATTTAAGAATTAAATTGAACAAATATGAAATTACAAATAAAAAATTTAAATAAATTAAGCAACACACATTGATGAGGGGTCAAATCGAAATAATTTTAAATTGTGAGGTTGAAATTAATACAAAAAAGTACTAAATTATACCAATTTAAAAAGTTATGAGCCAATTAAAAAAATATAATTAAGTAATAATTATGGATCAATTTCATATGCAAATAAAATTTGGAGGATTAAATTGAACAAATATGAAATTACAAATAAAATTTTTAATAAATTAAACAACACACATTGATGAGGGATCAAATCGAAATAATTTTAAATTGTGATGTTGAAATTAATACAAAAAGTACTAAATTATACCCATTTAAAAAAGTTATGGGCCAATTTAAAAATAGAAATAAGTAATAAGTATGGGTCAATTTCAGATGCAAATAAATTTTGGAGGACTAAATTGAACAAATATGAAATTACAAATAAAAATTTAAATATATTAAACAACACAAAAGGGATCAAATTGAAATAATTTTAAATTTTGAGGTTGAAATTAATACAAACAAGTACTAAATTATACCCATTTAAAAAGTTATGGGCCAATTTAAAAATAGAAATAAGTAATAAGTATGGGTCAATTTCAGGTGCAAATGAAATTTGGAGGACTAAATTGAACAAATATGAAATTACAAATAAAAATTTAAATATATTGAACAACACAAAAGGGATCAAATCAAAATAATTTTAAATTTTGAGGTTGAAATTAATACAAAAATGTACTAAATTATACTCATTTAAAAAGTTATGAGCCAATTAATAAATAGAAATAAGTAATAAGTTGAGAAAAAAAATTAAAACAACTAATATATATATATATATATATATATATATATAATATATATATATAATATATAGTTTATATATAGAGTATATGTATTATATATATAAACTATATAGTTTATATATATATATATTATGTATAAAGTATAAACTATATATACCATGTATAAACTATAATACTATATAGTTTATATATGAACTATTGAACTATATAAAAACTACATAGTTTATATATAAATTATATACGAATTATACCAATTTATATTTATATATTATGTATAATTATAAATAATATATATTGTATAAATTATATAGTTTATATATATAGTATATATGGTTTAGGGTTTAGGGTTTATATTTATATTTATATAAACTACATACTATAATTTATATTTATATACTATATTTTATACTATATATATAAACTATAGTTTATATTTATATATTATATATATGAACTATAGTTTACATATGAACTATATATATAAATATATATATACTAAGGTTGATATTTATATATGAACTATAGTTTACATATAAACTATAGTTGATATTTACATATGAATTATAGTTTACATATGAACTATATATATAAACTATATAGTTTACATATGACCTATATATATATATATATTATAGTTGATATTTATATACTATATAGTTTATATATGACCTATATATATATACTATAGTTTATATTTATATATATATTATATAAACAATATATACTATATAGTATAATTTACATATGAACTATATATAAAAACCGTATAAACTATATACTATAGTTGATATTTATATACTATATAAAATAATTTATACTATAGTATATATAAACTATATAATATATACAACCTATATATATATAGTTCATTACTATATATAACCTATATAATATATATATAAGCTATATGGTATATATAAACTATACATTATATATATATATATTTCATTAGTATATATAAACTATATATTATATAGTATATATAACCTATATAATTTATGGTATATACAAACAATATATAACCTATATAGTATATATAAACTATACATTATATATATTTCATTAGTATATATAAACTATATATTATATAGTTCATTAGTATATATAAACTATATAGTATATGTAAACTATATATTATATAGTTCATTACTATATATAACCTATATAGTATATATAAACTATATGGTATATATAAACTATATGGTATATATAAACTATATTAACTATACTATATAATTTAAAACATATAGTTTATATTAATATTAACTTTATACACTATATTTTATATTAATATTAATTACAAATTACAAATTATATTATATTAATATAAGTTAATATTAATATTAATTATAATATATAATTATTTTAATATTAATTATAAATAATTTATTAATATAAATTTTATAGGGATAAGATTGAAAACTGGCGCAAAAAGTAACCATTTTCTCCCTCTCTTCCCGGCCAAACCCTCCCTCCTTTATTTTCCATCTCTCTTCTTCCCCGCTCAGCATCCAAAACCTTTCCCTTTTATCTCGTTTTCCCTCTTTCATTGTTGTTTCTGTTTGCCTAGTTGTCTAGTTGTTCAATTAATAAACTTTGTTACTACTGTTGTTATCTTCTTTGTTTTCTGCTTCTGTTTTCAGACTCTCAGAGCTCGTGTGGTTGCCAAGGCTGAAGAAAAGAAACTGGAGTTGTTGTTTCTTCAGTGTATTTTATCTCTATATTATTCAAATTTCATTTTTTATCAGTATTTTGTTAACAATGAAAACTTCAAATTGGCAGTTTCAGGCACTATTTGTGCTGCTACATTGGCAAGGAATGTAATTTTAGTTACCCTTTTTGACTCTGCTAGAGCCCCCGGTGGCCGCATGTCTCAAAGAAGGTTATTTTTCTTGTTTCTCCCCATTTCTTATTATTATTCTATTATTTGTGCTGTTGTTTTTTTGGGGGGGAAGAAAGAAAACTTTGAAGTGGATAGTTAAATTAATTTTTGTTTACAACAATTAGGGTAGTAATTGAAACCAACCAAAACCCAAACTCCGTTCCCCCCCCTTTTTGATGTGATTGATCCATAGATCTACTGATTCTGGTTTTGAAGCTCGCGTGAAGCTTTTGCCTTTTCTGTTTCCAGATTCTACTTTCAAAGTTTAAAATCAAAGTGGTCAAATAAAAAAAGGTGAGCTTCTTTTTCTTATTAATTTTTTTAGTTTTTAGCATGGGAATCATGAGTTGAATTATGATGATTGATGGGTTTAAGGGTTCTGTGAAACGTTATTATTTAAAGTTCTCAATGTGAAACCTTAGACCTTCTGGATATCCTCTTGGCTGACCAACTACTTTGTTAGGTAAAGAATTGAGCTTTGACTGATTCTGTTGTCTGAAAAAGCCCTCATTTTTTTTGTTGATTTTTCCAGCTGAGGTATGCTCATGTCTTTCCTTTTTTACACTGAAACAAACTATAAGAAGGGAGCTTTTTGTACACAATTTATTGCTCTGCTAGCTGTTGGTTATATAGTTATCAAGTTTAGTGTACTATCAAGGCTTGAGGACTAGTGAAAGATACTAATTTCTGCTTGAGGTTTGCTTGATTTGGTTGCTTTTGAGTTGTAATTTCATACTGCAGTATTGTTAAACCTTTTGGTATGCTTTGTTGTTTGTGTTGCTGTAGTGTTCCGTTATCGTGTTGAGATGCAAAGGAGCGCAAGTCCTGGTTGTATACGGTACTCATTTAGATGTAGAGAATTTGAAGGGTTTTTTTTGGAGGAGATGAGGGATGTTATCTGGGTTTATAAACTATATCTTTTTATCTTGCTGTGTTAGGTTATGTGATTGCTGTTTTAGGTGATGTCAACACAGAAGTTGTTTTAGTTTTAATGAATAGGATACATTTTTTTCTCGTTTGGGGCAGGGGATTTAAAGCTGGCTTTTAAGCCTGGGAATCATACACTTCTCTCTGAACCAAATGCTCAAGTGCGTGAATAAATATACTTTATTTTCATCATTGAGTGGGATTCTGAAGAGTAAGATTCTTATTACTTCTAAAGTGGTTAGTGCTATTCATGAATAGGCAAGAGTAGCATTGTTAATAATTTCTTTGCTACATGCAGTCAACGCACATGGCTTCTCAGAAGATTACAGAAGAAGTCGTGTATCTCTGTACTGGAAATCCATTTCCTAAATACATTGAGCAAATATCTTACTGGCTTCTGAATGAATCGTTTTCTTAGTGTTTCACACGTACTTGTCTTAATCTCACTGTTTGTTATGCTATTAATAAAATGCTTGTCTTTAGATCAACTTTTTAACACTATATCTATATTTTGTTATTAACTCTCTGTAGGAGTTTCTGAAACGAAGACAAGAAAAGGATTGGCCTTGATTGATATTGTGAGGGAAGTGACTGTAATTTCCTAATCCTTCTCGTTTTATGCCTCACTGCTTACTTCTCGTTTTGTAACATGTTGAGATTATGTCTTCTTTATTCCCTTCAAATGTAACCTAATAATATTTTATATTTATAATGTTTATTTAATAAAACTTTCAAATTGTTTATTAATAAGTCTTCTCTTTTGTAGGGTGCCTTACTACCTTACAAGATGCAATACTTGGTGCTTGATTCTGTTTGCTTCTGTTTTATATTGTTTACTTCTGTTTGATATTGTTTGCTTCTATTTGATATTTGTACATGTTTGGTAAAGTTGGAAATGTTTGGCACTGTTGGCCATTGAATTCTCTTTGGCTTTACCACTGATTGTATGCTTTCTTAATGCAAGATGCTTGTTGAATCGATGCAACAATGCTTGCTGAATTGGTACATGATGCTTGCCGATTGATGTTGTCTATTACTCACTGATGCCTTGTAAATTATTGTTTTTGGTCTGATTTAAATCAATTTTAGAACCTTATAAATTTTTATCTAAATAGTTACTCATGTTTAATTATGTTGGTGGTATTTTGACTTTTAAAGTTAAAAAGTTGCTCATAATTAAATATGTTGGTAGCATTTAGGTATATGCTCTATGATGACATTTTTGGTAGTATAGTTAGGCTTTTTAGCCTTGTAAACATTAGCTATAAGATCTGAGAGCATTTATTTCAACACATTTATTTTGTTTAGTTGATTTTATTGTATTTTTAGTGTTTTCAAGTGTAATAAAATTACATTCATTTATAAATATTTATTTAGTATTTGTAATGTTATTCAAGTTTTTAATATTTAATAAGTCTATTTCAATTAATATATTTTGATTTTAAAATATCAAGTTAAGTTTACTTAAATTATTATTCAATTTTTACATTAAAAGTAAATTATATTTATGATTATTTTAACTTAGTAAATATAATTTAATAAAATCAAGTTTAATAAGATAATATTTAAATTTAATTTAGTTATTTTAAATAAAATTTATAATATAAGAAATAGTAAGATATTTATGAATTGGAATTAACATAAAGATCAAATTTATAATATACAAATTATAATTAATATAAAATTAAATTTCAAAAAAGTAATTATATTAATTTGATTATCATAATAATTTATGATAAAATTTCAAAGAGTAATCATATTAATTTAATTATCATAATAATTTAATTATCACAAGTTTATATAAATTTAAAATAACATAATTATATTAATTGTAAGTTTATTTATAAGTCAGGATAATATCATATCACTTTAACATGTCGGATCATTTACAGGTTGAGTCAATTACAAGCCAGGTTCATAACAGGTCGGGTAATACCAGATATTTATCAGGTCAATCTCGGGTTCGGGTTCATATCAGTAGGATGCAGTTCGGGTTCAGATATCATATTTTCGGTTCAATTCAGGTTTAGGTCGTTCTCAGGTCGGATGCAGGTCGGGTTCGAATCTATAATTTCCAGGTCCAACTCGGGTTCAGGTCAACACCAGTTCCGACTCAAGTCGGTTTCGGATCGTCACAACGCAGGTCAAAAACAGTTTTAACTCGAGTTGGTTTCAGTCAGTTTTACAGGTCGGGTCAGCTTTTTACACCCCTATATATATATATATCAAGGACGGAGGACCACTGGGGCTGAAGGGGCCTCGACCTTTGTTATGATTTATAAATTTAATTTGGGTAAAGTACACAAATAGTCCTTTAATTATAGAGAAAATCGCCTCAGTGACCAAAAAAAAGTTATAATATACGATTTTAACCAACTTTTTTTGGATTTGCCAAAATGACCAATAAAATCGCAACGCGAAATAAAAATCGCAACGCGATCCCCAGAATCGCAAATCAGTTTCCAAAATCGCAACGCGATTCTTGAAAATCGCAATGCGATAGTACAAATTCGCATTGCGATTTTCCAAAATCGCAACGCGAATATGAAAATCGCAACGCGAACACATAAATCGCAACGCGTATCCGTAAATCGCAACGTGTATCCGTAAATCGCAACGCGTATGGGTAAATCGCAATGCGTATCCGTATATCGCAACGCGTATCCGTAAATCGCAACGATAATCCGTAAATCGCAACGAGAATCCGTAAATCGCAACGCGATATTTAAAGCGCCATTATAATCGCTACGCGTATTTTATTTTCAAATTACAAAAAACGAATATTAAGACAAAATCCCGTAATCGCAACTCATAACCTAAAACCTAAAATCACAACTCAGTCCCATCTCCATCTCTCACTCTCTACGGCGAAGAAATCCGTCCCCATCTCCGAATATTTCCGTCCCCATCTCCGGCGAAATCCCTCACAACCATTCACGGTCAGAAATCCCTCACAATATTCAGAAATGGAAAATCAACCTCCGAGGGTTAGTTTTTTTAATTATTTTTATTTTGAAATGTTTGCATTATTGTAGGTTTTTCATATTGAAACTGATGATAAGTTTACTGGTCATTTCAATAATAGATTAACCATTTCACTTAGATTTCATTTCGCGTTACGATTCTGTCGTTGCGATTTTCAAGTTAGTATTTGTCTTTGTCTTTGTCCTGTCTTTTGGTTGAAGTAATGCAATCCATTCAAATTTCAATTTGCAGAAGAGTCGCAACGAGAGAATGACTGTCGCAACGAGAGAAATGAAAATCGCAACGCGAAATGAAAATCGCAACGAGAGAATCGCAACGCGAAACCAAAATCGCATTGCGATTTTCATTTCGCGTTGCGATTCTCTCGTTGCGATTTTCATTTCGCGTTGCGATTCTCTCGTTGCGATTGTCATTTCGCGTTGCGATTCTCTCGTTGCGATTTTCATTTCAACCCAAAGACAAAACAGTGTTGCAAATTTTAGTTTCAAGAATAAACTACTACTTTTTATGTTTATTGTTTTTAGTATATCTTCACAGTGTAGTTTTTGGTATATCTAACTTGGTATGTTTATTGTTTTTGTAGAAATTTTTTCGGCTCAATTGACCTTGAGAAATAAAGTCAGCCTGGCCATACAATTGCTTCGAAGCTTTCACCTGCTCAAAGACAATTGTTTGAGGAAACCTGCTTCGGGCCATGGCTGAGAGTACAGCATCCGGGTGGAGATGCTAATTTGACCCATTTATGGCTTCAGACCATGACATCAAATCTACCCGACAGTATACAACGTGGTGAGGAAGAGATATGGTTTCATTTTCCACCAGCGTATACTTGTTTGGGCGGAAGGAGTTCTGCTTAATCACTGGTCTACGATTCGGACACGATGATGTAGGCCGGTACACTCGTCATATCGCCCGCCCATCATGGTTATCCCGGGTTTTTCCGGATGAGTCAATGGAGAAGCCGAACCTACATGTCGACGACCTGAAGAAATTATTTAATAAGAAAGCTGGTTTCACTCGGATGGATGACGTCGATGTTGTCCGAGTATGCCTTCTACTACTTGTGTATGCCGGCTTTTTAGGCAGAGAGGCCAGACAACCTATTCATCGGGAGCTAATAATATTGGTAGAGGACCTGAATGCATGGAATCTGTTTCCGTGGGGTTCATATATATGGAAAGCTACCTGGACTAAGTTGTCGTCTGCCTTTGATGACCGCAAAAGTTTGCGGGGCGATGGGTCCAAATACACTTTGTCAGGCTTTGTTTGGGCCTTTAAGGTAAGAATTTCTATATAATGTTTCTAAAATTATAATTAATTATTTAACAATTACTAATTTTGTTATTATATTGTTTGTAGATTTGGATATTCGAGGCTTTCCCCAGCATGCGTACATATGCAATAAAAACGTCAAATGATATTCCCAGGGCTATTTCCTGGAAGAGGAAAACTCTGTTGGATTGGGAAGACTTAATACCATATGCGACAATAAATAATGTAAGTTAACACAAATACTTTCATATAATATATAAACAAGTTATTAATAGTAGACGTTTAACTTTGTTTGAGTTTTTATATTTTAGGAGGCCAACATTCCATTACAAAGACTGACACCCACGGAGGAAGAGCTTGCCACTGATTGGTGGCAAGCTAGTCAGAGTTTTTTTGATGGCACGGATGATGAGCAGCATCCACTTCCTCCAATTCGAGAGCCATCACCTCACCTAGAGCCATCACCCGATCGACCCGACTATACACCTCTAGAACGAGAGCCATCACCTATCCCGTCACATCATCGAGCCTCTTCTCCACCATCACCTCATGATAGGCGACCGGCAAAGATGCCACGACTCCTATCTCCCTGTTCTCCACCTCCACCTCCACGGGATGAGTCAAGGGAGTTACGTGATGAGGTCAATGCCTTGCGTGAGGAGATCGGTACTCTACGCGATAACGATGGTGCATGGCGTGTGGAGGTGTCAACTTTACGTGGTGAGGTTGCCGCTCTACGTGAGATGATAGTATCGTTGCAGAATGAGGTTCATACTCTACGCAACGAGGTAAGTTTAAGATTTTCCATATTTAACTTAATGATAAATTTACTC